TTATTTTATATATGTTTATCGCCAGCAGCAGTATATCTTACATGCTCACAGCAGCATGTCTGTGGATTTATTCGCAGTAACAAATCTCAGTACTTATTCTGTCACAGCAGACTATTCCACCAAGACTAAACACATTAGCATTGCATGTATATTACGCTTAATTCTCATGACAATGCAGTCCCTCTGATTCTTTCAAATCAGAAATAGGACCTTATTTCTATTTAAAATGCAACCATAAATGTTTTAAAAAATCATTTTATGATAAGTTTTTTATGTCATGACAGAAATGAATGAATAAATGAATGAATACAATTTTAGATCACACTCTTGTGACAAATCGTAACTATTATACATTTTGGCAAATTTGTGCAATCTTATTATGTTTTCGAAAAATCTGCTTACCTCCCACTGAGGGTTTAGGGGTGGACCGTCAATGTACAAATCAAATTTGCCACCAATTCACCAAAATAATTATGTTGAAAAAGAAGCAGCTAGGAAACAGTTGGGAAACAGGGAAAAAGCAAAGCCAATGGAGAGTTCAGTATCAGCTTCCTCTATAACGTATATCATCACATAGAGGGCAAACTCTTTGACGGCAACAACACTTTTAGATCTACGGAATGGAAAAAAGAAAGACAAACTGCAAATTACTTGAATCCGTCTGAACCAAATAAGCAGTTAATTCAAAAGGCTTTTAGAATTAACAATAATAAATCTACTGCAAACATGAAATCAGAGGCACCAGGATTTGAGCAGAGAAATCTGTTAAGAATAAGCATCAGATGACAAATTCCTGGTATAACAGTTCACCAGCATGCAAAAATACAACATGTGCATCATCCGGATAGAGCTGCTATGACGTTGATGATTAACTTATTGTACTGCCTTCATTAAAAGCTGAGGGAAATGGTTCTGATTATTCAGGATTAAAAAAAAAAATATCAACTGGGTTTTTGAGTGACTCACTATGAGTAAAGACAGGCATGGATTTGGTGCTTCTACACATTTTAGGCATGAGTCACGTGTGAATCCAGCCTGCTGGGATCTGTCCGAAGATACAGGGAATCGGTATCATGTAAGTGTGATTTCAGGCCATCTCCAAGGCCGTGGCCCCAGATGCCCACACTGAGGTAAATGAGGACACGGCAGATGATAATAAGCATAGGCCATAAGCGACAGCCGCCTGGGGACACATTCTCCTGTTTCGTATCAATACATAAACATAAACATAAGTAAAAGTCCTTTCTCACAGAGTTTGAATATAAAAGCTGTTTCACATTAGCACACAGCTCTGAAATAAGGCCTTAATCTGAAACAGGCATTTTCATGTCAGAATGCATCATGGAGTTACACAGCTAAACCGCAACATCTCTAAACGACACTCAGGCGCCACAAACCTAGCTGTTGTTTTGTTCATTTCCATTTCCTCTTGACACCTTTTACAACTTAGGAGACAGGAGAGATGGAAACGTGTGCATCTTTACATTAGAGAACGTCTGTACAAAGGATCCATCCATCTCTTTTCTTGCCTTGATCCCATATGTTGTGCATTACAGGCTAATCACATCCAGACTTGGAGCCAGGGAATGTCACTCACCACCTTGGTTTTGGTTTTATTTTCCATTGCAAGTCCTGCTCTCTCAGGAACAATCATATCTGACTCACATTCCGCTGATTTCACTGAATAATTTCAGCAATTAATCTCGGAGTTAATGTCATAAATGGAATAGGAAGCAAAACATGACCTATGGTCACGAGTGGGGCTATAACAGGACTAGTCCCTGCGGTCACCCACCCAAAAGACAAACAAAAATTTATTTGACTTGGCCATTTGTGCCGGTTCAGGTCTGAGTTTGTTGGCAGTTTTGCTCAAGAATGACCTTTTGTTCTGTAAATTCAGTCACATCCAGAACACAATTTTATTGACGTGAAAATGCATCAAAAACAACACATGGGATATTGGGTAATTTGAAGGACTCAATCGAGCAAAGATTATGGTTTTCAAGGCCTTCAGCTGAGGGAAATTTTTTTCCATGAATAAACCTTTCAGAAGTCCAAAATAAACCCATCACTCTTGAATCTCTTGAATTGAGAATACCTGAAGATAGGCCTTCCCAGATGTAGGACAGAGAAAACATGGCTCCCAAGATGAAGCCCATGTCATTATTCTAACACAACCCTCAAGTGTGATAAATGGTTTGCTATTTTAAATATTTAAAGGGTTAGTTCACCCAAAAATGAAAATTAGGTTGCGTTTTACTCACCCCTCAGGCATCCTAGGTGTATATGACTTTCTTCTTTCAGATGAATCCAGTCGGAGTTATATTAAAAATTGTCTTTGATCTTTCAAGCAGTTTAATGCCACTCAGCGGGTGTTGCATTCATCAGTCCAAAAGAACTTAAATAAAAATCGCCCATCCATAAAAAAAAAGTGCCTCACACGGCTCCGGGGGGTGAACAAAGGCCTTCGGTAGCGTATCGATACGTTTTTGTAAGAAAAATATTCATATTCAAAACGTAATAATCACTTTAATGTAGCTGCGCCAACAGTTGTACACAGAAGCAGCTCCGGGAGCATGACGTATGAGTTCAGCGTTGCGCATGCGCCGGTGAGTCTCGTGAAAACCAACATTTGCTTACAGGATCAAAGGAAGCAAAGTTTCCTTACTTTAACAAAGGAAAACCAGTCTCCTCTTGGCTTATATTGAAATCCTCTGACATTCTTCTTTACAAATCCTCGTTTTGTACTTCTAATTCTTGACCATTGTTTTGTTTTGATCTCTCCGCATGTGTCACTTCTGAGCGGCGCATGCGCAAAGCCGACCTCATATGTCATTCCCCCGGAACTGCTTCGTTTACAACAGTGAGCGCAAGCTAGATTCAAGTGATTATTACGTTTTGAATATGGATATTTTTCTTACAAAAACGCATCGATACGCTACAGAAGGCCTTTGTTTACCCCCCGGAGCCGTGTGAGACACTTTTTTTTATGGATGGGCGATTTTTATTTAAGTTCTTTTGGACTGAAGCAATGCAACACCCGCTGAGTGGCATTAAACAGCTTGAAAGATCAAAGACAATTTTTTATATAATTCCGACTGGATTCGTCTGAAAGAAGAAAGTCATATACACCTAGGATGCCTGAGGGGTGAGTAAAACACAGCCTAATTTTCATTTTTGGGTGAACCAAACCTTTAACTATTACATTTACTATTTGCTAAGAATTTAGCAATATCTTTATTTTAAAATATAAAGACATTCACTTTTATTTGTAAAGTAAAACAGCAAATGTTTCTTGTCACGTAGGGTTAAATGATTTAGGTTATATTTTCAATTCAAAAAAAGCAAAATTTGACACAAAAAGTAGTTTGCGTTGATCATGTAAAACAGCTGTCAAATATTAACTTACATCACACTCTTTCACCATTAAACGCTATATAACTAATAGTATTTCTTATTTGATTAGATTAGTCTTAAGTGCTGTTAGACTGGTGAGGCTTACCAGACTAAAAATGTGCATTTATAAACCTTTTGTCATCCGAACAACAAACAGGGCAATATCAAGAATATCAAACATTAGGGACCATTTTTGATTATTGGGGGAACTTGTCCCTCTCTTTTCTCTGGTGGTTACAGGCCTGTGATATACAAACCAAGCTGAAATAGACTTTGAAACGCACTTCTGTGAATACTTTGGATCCAGCTAAAACTCTGATAAAAACTGAAACTGAAGGTCAGGGTCTTTGGCTAAGGATGTTGCAGTTGAGGACAGGAGGCTTTTACACAGTTCATGGGTCAGCTGAATCTGCAGAAACTATTTTTGGGTAATGTTTGGAGAAATCAGCACAAAGGAAACCAGAAACTGGCACAGCAAATATGCCAGTGCCTGGCTTTAAGGGATCAAGACCCTGGAAACAGTGAAGGAGAATATGCAGAGCAGTCATTTCCAGTTTATTCCCCTCTCTCTTTTACTCACTGTACGTACTTTTTACCTATTAATGTCTTCGAGTTTGGTGGTCTCATTTAAATAAATACAATTAAACTGAATGAAATTATATAGAAAGCCAAACAATGCAATCCCTCTGATTCTTTAAAATCAGACAGAAAAAATAATGACCTTACATCTATTTAAAATGATCATAAAAGAAACATTTATGGCTATAAATGTATGGCTAATTATAAAATGTTTTTAAAAATCATTTTATATTTTAGAAGAAAGAGCTTTATTGCCAAGTATGTTTGCACATACAAGGAATTTGTTATAGTGGCACAAGCTTCCAGTACACGGAGACAACAACAACACACAGATAATAAAAATGAGATGTGAATAAAATACACATGCATAAATATAAACCACAAAAAAAGAATAAATTGTATGTACAGGTGTGCTATAGATGGATCATTTATTATATGGATGGATTTAGCTATTATATGATCATTTTTTAAAAAGAATGTTTCTATTTTGTGCCCTTTAAATACATTATTAATACAAAATCGGTGTAGATCCAAACTGATTGATTATTCTAAAAATATATACACATTAACAATCTTTAAGACTAATAAAAATGTACTGGATTTATTTATTAATAATATGAGTAATAATATGAGTTTGTAACATACAGTACAGCTCTTTTGATTACACTGAGACCTATTGTGCATTACAATAGACAACTAATTTATAAATATTCTTCCATATGATATTATGACTTAAAGTCACCTCTCAGGCGTCACTTTAAAACAGTCAAACTCATATTTGTGTTATTTGAAGATTCATATATATATATATTTATATATATATGGTTAATATGCTCAGGAGGAACTCCAGGCTGTGATTAAATTCATGGTAAGGAGAAATGAAATTTCGTAATTAAGAGTTAAAGTAGTGCCACACATCAGGTCACAGCGCCAGAGAGACGTGCGGAAAAGGGGCGTGACCAGGAACGATAACCCCGCCCACTCCGCCAGGAAGACTGCGCGAGTTTTTTATAAAGGATATGCGCGCAAGTTTTGGCAGGACAGAGGGGGCTCTCTGCGGGGCAGAACTATATCAAAGACCCTTCACACACAGGAATACTCCCACCGTGCCTTAACAAACCATCGGTTTGTCAACTTTGAAGTATTTTCATCAACCCCCGATTCGACAATGACTGCGACTGTTGTGTCCTCCTTCTTCGACTACGAAGTGATGAATAAGGTAATTTATAGTTTTGGGAAGTCGATTTAAGCGTTTTAACAGTTTAAATGAGTGAGTAACAGATCAATATCTCATAATCTTAATACACAAAATGTAGCAATTGTTTTCTACATCGATGTCAACTTTTCTTGCTTATGCGCGCGTGTGTGTGCGTGCGTGTGTGTGTGTGTGTGTGTGCGTGCGTGTGTGTGTGTGTGTGTGTGTGTGTGTGTGCGTGTGTGTGT